GGTTCAATGTAACAGTCATGTGCATTTGCCTTGTGTTGTAGTCATTAATGTCATTATGTCATGTAATCAGACCTCCCAGAATAGATTCAAACAAAGTCGGCAATCCAAATTTCAAGTCCACAGAAGGAGGCTGACGTGCGGCTGTTTAGCTTCTATAAGTGTTTTATCAACTGTCTTTAAAAAATATTTCAAGTCTGAAAACCGAGCAGCTGCTTCAAGAGCCAAGGTTTGGAAGCACGGCTCTGAATGGCGCACAGCGAGCGACGGACTGTCTCCAGGTTAGGAAAATATTCTGTTTTTTTTTTTCCCACATGCGCCCTGCGAAGACCGGCTCCTAGCACTGCCCCCAGGGCCACAGCTCAGTTCGGCCACGCACACTTGGGGCAGGACAGGAGCCCCAGCCCCGCCCCACTCCGCGGGGTCCGCACCTAGTGCCTGCGCCAAGGGGGCAGCGCCGCGCGCTCACATTCTCCAACACGCATGCGCCGAAGCTGCCGCGAGCCTTCCCAGCCACCATAGCTGTGCTTTGGCGGTAGCTGCCTTTACGCCCGTGCTGCGCCGCACAGCTGTGTACGCATGCGCGAAGCTAGCTCCGTCGACGTAGCATAGAGGGGCAAGGTGCTGGCGCCAGCCGCTTCCGTCTGGCCGTGGCTAGTGCGCAGGCGCGGTCCGAAGCCCTGCGGGAGCCTCTGGAGCTCACTGCGCGGGGCCGGAGCCGGGCAGGATGAAGCTGCTGCGGAAGAGCATCGAGAAGGACAACGCGGGGCAGGTGACGCTGATGCCGGAGGAGCCCGAGGACATGTGGCACGCGTACAACCTGCTGCGGCCCGGCGACAGCCTGCGTGCCTCCACCATCCGCAAGGTGCAGACCGAGTCGGCCACGGGCAGCGTGGGCAGCAATCGCGTGCGCACCACGCTCACGCTGTGCGTGGAGACCATTGACTTCGACTCGCAGGCCTGCCAGCTGCGCGTCAAGGGCACCAACATCCAGGAGAACGAGTACGTCAAGATGGGCGCCTACCACACCATTGAGCTAGAGCCCAACCGCCAGTTCACGCTGGCCAAGAAGCAGTGGGACAGCGTGGTGCTGGAGCGCATCGAGCAGGCCTGCGACCCGGCCTGGAGCGCCGACGTGGCCGCCGTGGTCATGCAGGAGGGGCTGGCCCACGTTTGCCTTGTCACACCCAGCATGACGCTGACCCGCGCCAAGGTGGAAGTTAACATCCCCCGCAAGCGCCGGGGCAGCTGCGCCCAACATGACCGGGCGCTGGAGCGCTTCTACGAGCAGGTGGCGCAGGCTATCCAGCGCCACATCAACTTTGACGTGGTCAAGTGTGTGCTGGTGGCCAGCCCGGGCTTCGTGCGGGAGCAGTTCTGCGACTACATGTTCCAGCAGGCCGTCAAAACTGACAACAAGCTGCTGCTGGAGAACCGGAGCAAGTTCCTGCAGGTAAAGGAGTCCCATCCCCCTCAAAGCTGCGGGGTCCGGTGAGGGGCAGAAGTGACGGGATGCAGGAAACGGGGTGGGGTGGGTGTCAGCAAGGTGAGCCTCAGAAGAAAAGTCTTTTTTTTTTTTTTA